ACTACAGCTCAGCATTCAACACCGTAGTACTCTCAAAGCTCATCACTAAGCTAAGGACCCTGGGACTAAACACCTCCCTCTGCAACTGGATCCTGGACTTCCTGACGGGCCGCCCCCAGGTGGTAAGGGTAGGTAACAACACATCTGCCACACTGATCCTCAACACGGGGACCCCTCAGGGGTGCGTGCTCATTCACCTCCTGTACTCCCTGTTCACCCATGACTGCATGGTCAGGCACGACTCCAACACCATCATTAAGTTTGCCGACGACACAACAGTGGTAGGCCTGATCACCCACAACGATGAGACAGCCTATAGGGAGGAGGTCAGAGTCCTGGCCATCTGGTGCCAGGATAACAACCTCTCCCTCAACGTGATCAAGACAAAGGAGATGATTGTGGACAACAGGAAAAGGAGGACCGAGCACGCTCCCATTCTCATCGACGGGGCTGTATTGGAGCCGGTTCCTTGGTGTCCACATCACCAACAAACTATCATGGTCCAAACACACCAAGACAGTCGTGAAGAGTGCACAACAAAGCCTATTCCCCCAATTTAGCTAATATTAAGTTTTCGATGTGAACTTGATATTAAATGTATATTTCTCTTATTTGAGATCAACAAGATTTAACTCCTGTGGTGTTTAGGCTTAACATATTTTGGATATCCTTCTATAAATTCAAATCCTGAAGAGGGGTGAGGGTTTGACAAAAATAGAAGGTTTTTCATAACAAGAAGTTATGGATGAAGACAGATTTACGGGGTAAGAGGAACGAAGATTGTCTGAAGAAGCCTGATGCTTTTCTACTCTCAGATTTTCACGGTAATGAAAATAAACCATTAAAAACAACGATTCAAGGCTAAATACAGCAGCCATGTCGGGATTCGATACAGGGTCAGCATCGTCGATTATGTTCATTCTTGGTAGAAAATGCCCTCCCCCCGAATTCACTACACTTGTTAATTCCTGGTGGCACATCCTCGACTAATGAGCGATGTGCTGGCGCATCCCTGGCCTTGATGGACGAGGTTACTCCATCACTGACATGCAGGCCTACGGCATTTGTTGTCGTTAGGGGGCGCAGCGTGTCCACGAACCACTGGTCCCTATAGCAGGTGGCTGAGCTAGTGGCTTGTGTTGAACAGTTTTCTACTGGTCGTATTGCTCTATCTATGGTTTTATGACTCCCTCCGTATTTATGAAAAAATCCCGACGAGGTCAACAGCCTACACTGCGTCGCGTTGGTATTTTTTTCTTCATATTTCTCTGTCACACTGTTCGCCCTCTTTGGCAATTCTAGACCAGCATACCGCGTCTATTTATTTGAGCTTTTACTGTTTAGTTCTGGGAACACCTCCCCCGTTTTAGTCCTAAAATGTGAGAAGGGTACAGGCCAGTAAAATGTGATGTATCACTACAATTATTATCCGGAAACCAGAGCAGTCAGTGAGTGGAAAGTTCCTTTGACTTTGAAGTTCCAAAAATCTGTCGATAGACTTCAAGATTTCAAAACGATATTGAATGTTCAGCCCATAGTTCTACGCCAGTGGCTAATCTGAACTTGTATCTTTCTTATCATAAAACAGTAACACATTTAGTATATTAGCTTACTTTTACATTAAAATATGGATGTGGTTCATGCTTTCTCGGCCACATATTCTATTTCTGATATGTTGATCCCCAAGCTAATATAACAGGAAGAAAATACTCTCAATGCCATCGAAATATTACAACCTACATCAATACACCATCTTCTAAATTGTAAGTATAGAACATTATTGATAATATCTTGCAAAATTGTTTAAGCGAATTCAAAAGAAGTCACCTTGATTATACACACTAAAGACAATGTTTTGTTTCCATATCTTGACTGAATCTAATATTTAAAGCGCCATACAGATGTTATATGCTAAACAAATTCAAATAAAGGCCATTCATATAATGTATAGCCCTCCAAACATTGTTATTTATAACAACGTGTTATTCAATACAAACTAATGTGCAAATTATAATTGTTATTCTAAAATGAAAACTATTTATTTATTGTAATGATTATGTTGAAACTCAGATGTAATTTTACGCTAGTTTGGTAGGTTATAGGAAACAATAATGTACTGTAAGGCTACCCTACCTATTTTTGCCGAGGCCTATTATTTATGACAAATCGAACCAATGATGAATTAATTGATAACTTAGCTATTTACGAGATAAAAAATGTATATAGCAATGACATTGTTACCAAGTTCATACAATTCAGCAAGTAATTTATTGGAACCAAAAGTTTTAACATTAGGCCTATTATCACTGTATTTTTATCGGGAACACTGTGGCAGTGTGTTTATTAACTAGGCGGGCAGTCCCGTTAACAGTAAGTCAAGTCAGTGAATTGGGTAAACACCCGGGGGTAGAGAGTTCATTCCCGGGTCTGTGAGCACGAAACCCAGCAGTGTCAGTGTCAGTGTCAGTCTCTCTCAATTCAATTCAATTTAAGGGCTTTCTTGGCATGGGAAACATATGTTAACATTGCCAAAGCAAGTGAAGTAGATAGTAAACAAAAGTGAAATAAACAATAAAAATTAAACATTACACTCAGAAGTTCCAAAATAATAAAGACATTTTCAAATGTCATATTATGTATATATACAGTTTGCAATGTGCAAATAGTTAAAGTTCAAATCGTAAAATAAATAAACATAAATATGGGTTGTATTTACAATGATGTTTGTTCTTCACTGGTTGCCCTTTTCTTGTGGCAACAGGTCACAAACCTTGCTGCTGTGATGGCACACTGTGGTATTTCTCTCTCTCTCTTTCTCTCTCTCTCTCTCTCGCTCTCTCAATTCAATTCAATTCAAATGGCTTTATAGGCATGGGAAACATGTTTACATTGCCAAAGCAAGTGAAATAGATAGTAAACAAAAGTGAAATACCCCCCCCCCCCCCCCCCCCCCCCCCCCCCCCGCTCCAGTTTTACATGCTCTTTTAATTACATGCCAGTGTTTACTTTGCGGGTATCTCGCCTCTACTTCCCACCATCAAGATCCAACACTAGAATAACACTGCTGTGACAGTTATTTAGATGGTCTATTATAGATAGTTTTTTATTCTATTTGGCTACTGATACTAATAGCCCTACTAATTTAAAAAAAAAACTGAGACGTCTACAATGCAGTTGCAATAATATCACCCAGACATGGCCTAAACTGAGTAATAGTAGCCCAGGCCTACATTAGAACAAAGTTAATTCGGCTGAGATAGTTATATCAAAAATCACATTGGCCTACAACAATTATTATTTGCTAACAAATATTGTAACACTCATATAGGCAATAGGTAGCCTAATTCCTAATAAAGGGATGGCCTGTGAGCAATTCATAATACAGTGATGTCCTGTGAGCAAAAGCTGGAGGAATTTTAATGGCATTTTTAGCACTTTTTGACACTAAATCCGCATTCCCTCTCACATCCCCTTGTCCGTTTCTCACCCTGACCGTTTCTTCTTCTCCCTCGGCCAAATGATCTTAATTAAACCTTTAATTATCTTTGCGCATTCCGCCCTCTCGCGCTGCCAGGGCCGAGAGAGGGGCATGTGCTTTCATCTCGGGGTGTTTGTATTGAAATGTTTAAATCGTGGCTTATGTTGATGAACTCGGCATCACGGACCCAAACAGCAGAGGAAAGCACTGATATCATATCCATGCATGTTGATGTCGATTAAATCTAGTGTGCCTTTTAATTTCGGTATGCTAATATGTGGTAGGCCTGTGGTAAAACCAGATCTATGTATTCTTCATTATAAACTATAGGAAGAATACAGGCCTATTTAAGAACGATTATCAAGGCCTGTTAAAAGCGTTTGGACCAGTGATAGTCATAAGGTAATAAAATAGGCATCCACCCCTCCTCCAGATTACAGTCATTTACATAATGTGGAATCTCTGACACCTCTCCTTTTGTTGTGCTGTGCCCATCAGAAAAGATTACAGGGCAGTGATTACATGTAGGCCCCTATTCTTTTAGCCAACATTTGCTTTTGTGCTTTAAATAAAATAATTTCAAGTTATGTGTAGTTGATTTGGCATTGCTGTTATTGATTATGTCATGTTTTATAAACTCATTTCATTTGTAACCCATGAGATTGGCACTGAAAAATTCAAGTAACCTTACTCTGTCTGTGTGTAATTCATCCATAAAGAGAAAACCAAATTAAAATAAACTTTCCGGTTTTATATTCAGTATACTTATAGCAAGGTAATTAAATAATAATTAAAAATACGTTAAAAAATTTATAAACAGGTCATTCATTTCAAATGAGGTGATATGATTGAAGACTTCTTCTAATTTTACATATATCCCTACACGATTTCATTTTACACAATAGGTTACACATTGTGACATATATATAAAGTATGTGAATATGTTTGATAAACAGCTAATATGAATCCATACATTTTAAATAGGCCTATGTTAATGGTTCAATATTGCATAAACCTTCGGCATATTGAGCAATATTATAACGTTGTCCCTCAAATCATTTTACGTGAGCAGGGAGCTACCCACACATGTACTTTTTTTCATTTCAGTGTGTGTGTGTGTCCAACACAGCTCGGAAGGATCTCTGACTGCTTCAACTTTGCTTTTCCTCGTGCACGTTCGGCTCGAGCTCCCATCCAATTGGATGTTGGAACGCATTCGGGGAGGAGCATCCACAGGCCAAAATGTGAACAGAGTTTTAAAAAAGTGTCTCTGTAGTGACGGGTGCTTGAGCTGTAGTTTTCCCAATGTTCGCCTCAGTAGACAGTTCGCAGCCTTCACTCCAGTCACCCTGGCAAGCCGTGGCTTAGGCTAAACATATTTCCCCAAACTCCCTTCGCAACAAACAGGAAATAAAGAAAAGGAGCCTGCGAAGGATACTGGAGCTACCCATCGCCGTCCGGCTGAAGCTTTTGGGAGAGTTCTTTATTCTTTCAAACTTTACGGGAAGGCGAGGAGGAGAGAATGCAGGCGCGCTACTCCGTCTCCAGTCCTAACTCTCTGGGCGTCGTGCCTTACATTAGCAGTGACCAGAGCTACTACCGGGCCGCGGCCGGTGGAGGATACACCGGGATGCCTGCTCCCATGAGTATGTACTCTCACGCGGCCCAAGACCAGTACCAGGCCAGCATGGCGCGTGCATACGGACCGTACACGCCGCAGCACCAGCCCAAGGACATGGTCAAACCTCCATACAGCTACATCGCCCTCATCACCATGGCGATACAGAACTCACCAGACAAGAAGGTGACACTGAATGGGATTTATCAATTTATCATGGAAAGATTCCCGTTCTACCGAGACAACAAGCAGGGCTGGCAGAACAGCATCCGGCACAACCTGTCCCTCAACGAGTGCTTCGTCAAAGTGGCCCGGGACGATAAGAAGCCCGGTAAAGGCAGCTACTGGACTCTGGATCCGGACTCCTATAACATGTTCGAGAACGGCAGCTTTCTGAGGCGTCGCAGACGGTTCAAGAAGAGTAATGTTCAGAAGGACAAGGATGACAGGCAAGGAAAGGACTCGTCAAGGAGAGGAGCCCCTGGCCTGGAGAATGAGCAGCCCGTGCAGGGCTCCCAGCTCGTGCGCATCCAGGATATAAAGACGGAGAACGGGACCTCTACTCCTCCACAGGCCGAGTCCCCAGGCATACCTGTGCCCAAGATAGAGAGTCCTAGCAGCAGCAGTAGTATGTCCACCGGCAGCCCTCACAGTGTGCCCTCTGCCCGGTCCCTCTCCATGGAGGGCCCCGAGCATCACCACCACGTTCAGGCCTCGGCACAGGGCTTCAGTGTGGACAACATCATGACCTCGCTCCGGGGGTCGCCCGAGGGCACAACGGAGCTCACATCTCCTCTTATCGCATCCTCTAGGACAGGTATAACCCCCTCTCTATCGCTTAACTATTCCCCCAACCAGACGTCTGCTTACAACTCACCAAACTGCAACCAGAACTCCATCTCCACGAACTCTAACACGACGTACCATTGCAACATGCAAGCCATGAGCTTGTACGCCGGAGACCGAGGAGGCCACCTCGCGCCCTCCACCACCGTGGAAGAGACTCTGTCCGATTACTCTATCACAGCGACGACCACATCCCCGCTCGGGCATGGAAACCTTAGCATGGGACAGGACGGTGGTCACCAACGCGCACCAGGGTCGGCTCGCGTCCTGGTACGGGGACCTGGGACACCTGGGCACGAGCTACCCGGCACAGCAACAGAACTTCCACTCGGTGCGAGAGATGTTCGAGTCTCAACGGATCGGTTTGAATAGCTCTCCGGTTAACGGGAATAATAGCTGTCAGATGGCTTTCCCCTCTGGTCAATCCATCTACCGTACTTCCGGAGCTTTCGTTTACGACTGCAGCAAGTTTTAAAAACAACAAAAACATGTTTTTTTAAATGAATAACTTTAATATATATATTTCCATCTTTTTGTAATTAAACCTCCCTCATACCGGTCCTTTATTCCTCCCAGAATGGACAAAACAGATTGAGAGAGATGAGATTTGTTCTGGTGTATATAACAGACAGAGGCGTGTTTTACAACACCAAATAACACGTAAGTTTTTTCTCTCTAACTCTGGGAACTTTGTTTTTAAAGATTGTTTTTTTTAACATCCAACATTTTATAAACTTGTTATTAATTGTAAATTGCATATAGTAATTTATTATTAGAAAGTAAGGGAGGATAGTTGGATGTTGTGTACCAAGTTTCCAAATTCAGCTGCCTAAAATTGTCCTAGGAATTGATATTTTATAAAAACAGGAGGGGAACTTGTATACCGACGTATTCTGTTAAATGTTTTGTCTTATTTGTTAGAAGTATTCTGGATGCATTGCATTGTTTGTCTAATAAATTGCCAATCTATTTGATTTAAATCTGTCTTGTTTATTAGCTCTCTATAGAGGCCTATAGGGTCCTGGCTTCAGAATAAGGGACGCAATGTAAAATAAAAGTTTGGCCTATTATTGCAAAATTAGATGTCAAGCTGCATTTTCTGTTCGTGCATAGACGTAATTTGTGTATAGGCCTATGGTTCAAATCATTTGTGAATTTAAAAGGCTGAGGTATGCGTAAACATAGACAAACTGCAGGGGACGTTTGTCTTCTGTATTTCGAATTAATTATATAAAACACAAACTATGGTACAAAAAACCTCACACAGTGGTGACTAAATTTAAGGTGGCTATTTAGAGTAATTAAGGTGTTCTGTTTCTTGTCTTGATGTACTGTTGTGGCCTTATGGCCCTGCTACAATAAAGGAGCATATGGGGGCACATCCGCGCGCAGTTTTGGTTGGTAGCACACGTTGCAGGACTGTAGTGAGTTGCATTGTTTTTTGTTGCTGTCGAGAAATCACTGTAAAACCCAAACAGTTTCAACGATGTGACAATCTTATGAGTCCTAGGGTTATGTCATGGTACTTGTATCTTTACAACATAAACCATTACTACACACACAAGGCTACAGCCACTAATCCGATTTTCAAATGTATTAAATGTATTGTAATCCGATAGGCTACATGTTTGTTTCTGGGCTTGTAGTGTATTATGCAAGTACCCAGGGTATATGATATATTTCCGTGTAACTATTAGTTATTCCTGTAACGAATAGGCTATTGTTATGGTAACATGATAAATGTTTCAACACACCTCTCCTTAGGCTATGGGATGTGCCATTGGGGGAAATACGATTGTTCGGTCCAAAACCTCCAAATGAAAATAATGATTAGCAAAATGCTCGTTTTGTTTCTACATTTAGGAAAGGCCTATCTTTTGAATGCAGGGTTTGCAATATTTGGGCATTTGACTTTGTTATAACAAGCTAAAATAAGATGTAGGCTACTGGGCCTACTCGTCTTGCCTTGGCCCATATGTGTGTAGTCAGCAGAAATTAAATGTTCCACAGAACTACAGCACACAATCTGAAACAGAGAGGGAGACGGAGGAGAGGGATAGAGATTAGAGAGAGAGATAAATATCTACACAAATATATTTTATATTTTTGCAGTTAAGATATCATAGTAATGTATATTATAAAATCATAATGCTATATTGACGAGGGATGTAGAGTAAATTTGGTGACAACAGATGTAAGCTTTGCTTGGTTTGTTTTCCCTGAGAGGAGATACTCTGTCATCATCTTGACCTCCAGGCCTTCTTTAGTTTAACAGGGTCCTTGGTGCAGGGCGAGCCGTGAGCCAAACGTTGTATCCGGGCTAGGTCGCTGTTTAGACAACTAGTTCCCTGGTGCCAGGGTATCCGGCTGTTGTTTGGAGTGGCCACGTGTGTTTACGGACGCTTAGTTATACCACGCATACCTGAAATATTATCTTAGCCAGATGTTTGGTTGCTGCAGCAACTTGTTAAAGATTATATAAAACATTGCCAACAACACACAGACAGAGAGAGAGAGAGAGAGAGAGAGAGAGAGAGAGAGAGAGAGAGAGAGAGAGAGAGAGAGAGAGAGAGAGAGAGAGAGAGAGAGAGAGAGAGAGAGGGGGGGGGAGTAAGAGAGATACACTTTGAATTCAAATTAAGTGTAATTAAATTAGGAATTGAAAGTCGTAATTGTCAATCTAGATATTGTTAAAAAATATCAGTCGGTTTCAAGAAAATACATTGAAAATACTATAGGACACTTTCTGGTGAAAATGTGTTGTTTTTAAACAATATCTTCTTTTGTAATTATTATTATTCCCTTCAATTAAATACACACTCATTTGTACCATTTAAGATTTTTTTAAATAATCACTACTAAGATATTAGTATATTACTGTTTGAATTGCAGATAAAACACATTTCCAGTTAAAACAAATTCACAACAACATTTTAGAGGTTTCCTTAAAAAATAACAGCTAAAATGTTTGTGCAGTAGACCACCAGTCAAACCACTTCATCGTTCCAATAGAGAAACAATTGGTAGTCACTACAGCATGGGCAATTTGCTCGTTAATTGAATGTACATGGATTTACAGAGAGCATCTGCTTGCTTATTGTGTCAACGACAATATTCTCTCTCCCTCCCTCCCTAACTCCGCGGGCTCTAAGCATGTGGCCCTGGGTCTGACTATAACATTTACATTTCAGTCATTTAGCAGACGCTCTTATCCAGAGGGACATACAGTTACTGAGTGCATAAAAAAAAAAAATCATACTGGCCCCCAGTGGTAATTGAACCCACAACCCTGGCGTTGCAAACGCCATTCTCTACCAACTGAGCTACACGGGACCTATTACACGGAGTAACTGACTGGGGGCCCTCCAAAATAGCACCCTATTCCCTAGTGGCAGGGCGTCAAAAGTAGAGCACTATATAGGGGAATACGGTACCGTTTGGGACTCAACCTGGGGCTCAGTCAGTCGTATGAGAGTAATGAATGTAGCCTATATGCATTATATCACATACCTCCGCGCTGAGCCTGAACCAGCAGCCAGACGGCCCGGGGCTCTGTGGGTTGAAGAACAGGGAGAGTGGAGGAGAGGATACATTTTTACTCTCTGACACCAGCGCTTTGCGGAGGCCCAAATGCAGTGCAGGTGTGTCTGTGGGGCAAGTAGGGGAAGCAGGAGGGGGTAGGAGGTTGACTTTGTTGTGATTGCTTGCATTTGTGAAACTATTGGATTGAGAATGGAGCAAGTGAGCAGGGAACACTACACCCGCAGCACAAATCCTCCACTGAGTATAGGCTGCTTGACAGCACAAACCAAAGTTGTTCCAGTCCGTCGACCTGTTTCAGACTATTAGCCTGTAGTAATAAACTGCTAACGTTGCTTATTAACCTGGATGGTTTTATCCACATTTTATTATGGCGCATAAACTATTGGTGTATCGGTAGCCAAATAAAAACAAGTTCCTTGTAGTTTATTGGCTAGAGGCTATACAGTTTTTATTATGACAACAAAAAAATAAACATCTATGAATGTAGATCTATGCATTGGCATAGGCTTTATCACAACAATACACATATAATTAGATTGAAATACAAAAGTGGCCGACCAATAATTCAGTAGGCAGATGGTTCAAATGTTGATCCTCTCTCATAGATGCCTAGCCATAATAGCGCTAATAAAAATCATTAGATTCTTTCCGAAGTAATAAACAAACTTCAAGTCGGCACACGGAGATGGATGGCGCTGTCACGAGCCGGCCAGGTCAGGAAGGAATAAAATTCAATCAGCGTGCGGAATCATTTTTCATGGGACGGAAAAGGCAGAGCGCGAGGCGGAGGTCAATGGGGAGGATGTCAACAATGCTTCATGAGAGGGCGAAGCGACGAGCTGCCACTATATGAGCACCCGGTTGCTTTCTAAAGGCCTACCTCTTCTGGCCTGTAGGCCTACCTCTTCTCACGCGCTGTTTACACAAACCACAGTATACATCATGGAGTATTACTGTTGACAAGACAGAGATGACTAATCGATTAGTTTACTTCGACACCCTCCTCCACACGCACAACCACATTCATGCACAGCACTAGCCTATAGCTAATAGGCTACACTATAGCATTTACACAAACAAAATAATTATGTGGAGACGGGCATATCTTTAAAGAAGTTTCAAGTGTTGTAAAATAATAAATCCTATAGGCCTACTATTGATTTGAACTTTATTTAGGTTTAAAGATAGTGAGGGGAGCGCTTGCCTTTATGACAAAATAAGGCTTGTGATCAGTTTTTCAGATAAAATAAGGCGTTCTGCAAATTAACACGTTATTATCAATATTGATGTTAAAATGAAGTTATTAAACGTGAATTAAATATGGGTTGTTAAATATCAATTTTATTAACACAGACAATGTTTAATCAAGGCTAGGAATTCTGCTGTAATAATGATGACCGGAATTGTTATTCCTCTTGATTTAATAATAACAAAATAATTTTACAAAAAATAAATGAATTTGTACAGATATTAAATAAAGGAAATGAACTTACAAACTATTCGTTATGCATTATAGTTATGAAAATGAAATAATTAGGCTAAAACAAATAGCCTAGTATAGGAAAATATTGCTGACATTGCAGGCAATATTCTAATTATAGCCATGATTAAAGTAGCCTAAAGTAGCCATTAAGTATTAAACTGGGCTATTTGTTAGTTGTTGCACATTCCACAATGAGCTAAAAACTGAATAAAAAACGTAATAAGTGAACGTGAGAATGTCTGTTGGAATATCATGACACTCGCTCAATGCACACAGACTGACATGGGCTGTATGAGCGTCAGGGGCAAGAGTTGATCAAATCAATTTGTCAGGCAACAGCAATATCACACACACACACACACACACACAGAGAGAGAGAGAGGACGTGTAACGCTTCGCTGAGACCCTGCCCTCGTTTTTCAATTAAGCTGTTAAGGCCTACAAACCCA